GTTTAATATATTTATTAAATAACATGTAAAATATCTAAATATTAAAATTAAAACTACATTGTTAAATAAGAACTAGCAAATGCTATAATAAAATAATTTTGAAAGTACAATGTTGTAATAAGAAAGTCATTATTATAGTACATGTGGACAACTTACATGGACAATGAGGTGGCATGAAARCTTGGTATAATGGGTAAATTTAAATCAAAAGGTTACCCAATGCTATAATGAGTAAATTTTTCAAAGTACAATGTTCTAATAAAAAATAGTTTGAAAGTACATTGCTGTAATAAGAAAAACTGGAAGTACAATGCTATATTAAAGAAATTTATGAAAGTAGATTGMTATTTTGTGCATTTTGCCCTTTTAATAAACTTATGTTGGTTATGTTGTTTTGTATATRTTACGTAATTAAACTTCCATGTACAATATTAGTAACTTTTTGGTGGGATCAGTCTAAACACGAAAAGCATCACAAGATCAATAGTTATAGTACTGATATTAGATCACACTGAGACAAGATTACCAAAACCGAACATCAAATAATTCTTACATCATACACATATCTTAACAAAYTGTAGTCCTAAAACAAAACACTTACTTTTTTAAGGTTCAATCTTATCGTGGATGGAGATGTTCTAACGTGAGATATAAAATTAAAGGCAAAATATACATGTCTTAGTGTTTATCTAATTATRTATCTTTTATTCCAATTATATTTTTATCTTTTAGCAGATTTATCAACTCGTGATTCCATCTTTCGAAGAATATTGGAAAAATGATTATATTTAATATGAACTTTTATATTTTGTTTTGTCTTGACTTGTTTATTAGATCTATAGTCTTAGTAGAGTTGTAACAAGGGAACAACACGGAGGCTGAAGCATTCCCATTTTATTATGTATCAGATTGATAAGAAAAAAATATATTTTAATACGTTAATAAACTTTTAAACTATTACTTGATTCGTGGTAMTGTCGTCATCGTTTATTTTAGAACTAACTATTTATCTGATTTAAATGTATATAACAGTGAATTTAAATTATTAAAAAAATAAAGAAAAAAAATAAAAACAATTGTTGTAAACAGGGTGGTCAGAAAGCCCCTTTATTTTGACAATTCCTGTTGTAGTTGGCACAGTTAACTACTTCTGAACTCAAATATTTCTGACCATGTCTCTGTTATATATATATATATATATATATATAATATATATATATATATATACACACACATGTGCTAGCTTTCTTTTTAAGTATTGGAAACAAGGGTAAAATAAAACAAAGTTAGGTTTTGTTGTAATGCAATTTTTTCTCTTTGATAATCTGTTGATAATGTAACATTTGTTGATATTTTTATCTGTTTATAAAATATTTACCAGAAAGTTTTGATTAGAGGGATGATAAACCTGACATCCACGTTATCGTATGGGTACAAAATAAAAAACTTTAAAACTTTGTTACATCGATTGAGAAAAAAATATGTTATATTAAATAAAAAGTAACGCAAAGTTGGTTTCATTTTGATGTATTTTGTCCCAAAAAGAAACTATCAAAAGCTTACAATTTTGAGTACAAATTTGATTTGTTTCCCAAGGTGAGGCTTATTGAAGAATGTTACAACAAAGATTATCAACTCTTTCTTTTGTCATTTTGAAGAGACTTAGTTGTTGTAGCGACCACAACAGCAAAAGGAATTGTGATAATGGAAGCGAAACGCAAATAGTTGACCCTTATTTGCCCCATCAAACTTGCAGTCGGCCACGCCTAKTGTCCGCTTCTTTGTATTCCCTCCAAACACCGTGAGGCATTTTCCAGTGCCACGAGAGAGCCAAAATCTGAACTCCCGATGGTTCAGGTGCTTTGGTGGGTTGATTGATTTCCAATCTGCAAAGGCTAAGCTTTCTAAAGAGGTCAAGGATTCAAGGCTCACTTTGCCGTGCTTGTTGACAGTGAGGTAGTTTTGTCCTTTTGAGCATTTATCCATGTAGTTACTGAACCTGTATATAGATGGATTAATTATCAGAATGACTACGTATGTTTTATGATGTTTGTAAGCAGTGGCTGATCTAGGAAATTTTGGAGAAGTYGGACTTTAATTAACATAATATAAAATATAATAAAAATTGAATAAAAACACGCTACAAGTATTTGAAGTGTAACAAATGCAGGACTTTAAATACAGAACTAACCTATGAAATCCGGAAGCAGAGCCRGAGGTAGATTTCCATCCAAAATAGGCATTGGAGTCACTAGTACCACCCAGAATGTTGGGCACTGAGTAAACGCCTCTATCGCTTGCGTTAACGTAGTCGGATTGCAATGCACCGGCGATGAGCGTGTCGTCAAAGGCGGTCATATGGGGGTAGGCCTCACTTGGTGGACATGTTTTGGTGTTATGATCACATATGGAACATTGGTTGCATAGTTTCTTGCTTTCTAACACTAATGGATCAGCAACCRCGCACACCAGTAGCAGTGCTAGATTGATCAAAACGAGACTGCTGCTGCATAATGTGGTGGTTATTTTACCCATATGTTCTTCCCAATCCCCTCTGCTTCAATTCTCACCAATTAATATGAGGCTGAGATCTCCATAAATCAGATTCACTAAGATGGGTTCTTTGTAATATTCACCCATCCTAACAATGTTACAAAGATACCATTATTAATTGTTTATATTTTTGGTTAATTAATGTGGTTTGTTGGAAATAACGGATATCTTGCCGTGCGATTTGTTTATTATATTGGCTATTTTYTGTGCTTTGCAAGTTTTTACGGATTTGGTCCCTAATGCAAAAGTTGTTTGTTCATGAAGGGCCGTTAAGTGTCCTCACTTGCTGGTCACGTGAGGGGTATTTTAGTCATTGGCTATTTTCTTTTTATAATTTTTATGTTAGAAAATGTGTAACACATGTGTACAAGTGTTTAAAGCATTAAAAGAATAGACCCACCTATGCCTAGAGGTGGTTCTCAATTGATGGTTCTCAATTGATTTTCAACGGTACCACATAATAATTACTGTAATATAAAATAAAAACACTAAGAAATCAGTGCAATTTCAGAGATTAATTTACGGTTAAGTATTTTTTTTTTTATGTTTCACTATTATTAAACATAAGAACTTGAATTTAAGGTACAATATGCTACTATAGCCTCTCAATTTTTTGGCACGCCYAGTGGTACCACAAAAGAGATGACAATGATAGCAACTTTAAGGAGATGTTTGGTAATCACTTACCAATAATTCAACAWTATTACTTACTTACCATGYAAGATTTTAGTCCAACAAAACGGTATTGTATGCAACAAWTTACCYGGTAAGCGTTTACCGTGGTMAGAGTCGCCGCCCTCACTTATTGGGTAAGTCTTCACTYTTAYCGGATAAGATTCTTAGTTATTGTCATRTTCATTCGGTAAGGTAATGTTACTTGGTAAACGCTTACCTGGATAAGTGTTTCATAAATGTCCCTTGAATCAATAAGGATTTGCAAACCATAAAGACCGCCAATGTGTATACTATATTATAAARCATTTGACAAAAACTCTTAAAAACCATTTTTTATGCATGAAATACTGTTTATTGATGCATATTACTTAAAATTCAAGATTACAAGTAAATTGTGCATGAGTACAACTTATTAAAAACTCTATGTTTGAATCCGTGCAACTAACTACGGATAAACATAATCAAATAGAGGATAAACATCTCATTTTAAAATCWAAAAAATYTAAAATATAATTAGGATAATTATTGAGTCTAACAGAATACTTAATTATTATCTTTATAAAAAAWATATTATTAAACCTAAATTAAGTTACTTCGTTAMGATAAATTAAATTACAATAAAAATTTTGAATAAAAAWA